ACTTTTTATTATCAATATACAAAAACTCTTCTCCCAAAACTACACAATTCACATCCAAGTGTTATCAATTTTTTAGCTTCAAAGTCCTCCTCTCCTCCATCTATTGAGCCATAGTTCTTATCTTGTGAAAAGCCTTGGTTTGAACTCAGTGGAATAAGATTTGAATTTGATCTATCTAACCCAGTGCAATAGGAGGCTACAAATAAATACCATTTGAAAGAACAAGTTCAATTCCGAAGTTTTTGATTCATCTAACATTACGGATGGCATGTAGAATACTATAAAAAATTATTTACTCTGATTCATTTTTAGTATGATTTTAGGACACGCAGGATAAGAGAAAATAATCACGTCAAAGGGAAAACAAAATTTCAAGATTGATTGATTGATTGTTAAAGTAACTCACTTAGTATCTTGTGTTGTAATGTATATTTACAATTGGCATACATAAGAGTGACCATCAATGTGTAATGCGCATGCGTGCAAATTAAATAAAACCAAGGTTGGTTGGCAATTTCTGTCATGATCTTGGAGTTGAACAACTTGGCATGGTACTAAGGTAGCGTATATAGCATATGCTTTACTGTCTGTGCAATAACTTCTCAACCCAATTGTAAATGAATAGCATTGACTTGCTGACGGAACCCAAATCAGCCAGTTAACATGGAATTAACATCATTGTATAATGTGGAGAGGAGCCCTAGTCGACTGTTCATTGTAGGACAACCCAAATATAGGTTTTATAATGAGTGATGATTCCTTTAAATATTGTTTCATTATGTGTTGTTCAGTTGTCAAAAATAGTGGTGCTGAGCAGTTTTGTCACCATTGGATAGATAGTAATTAGATGTGTTAGGGTGTATCATGTTGACCAGTTAATTGGCAGGTTGTGTTTGTGCTCAGCTCTTTTGACCGTGACGGGGTTTTGACAGAAGACAAACATGACTTGACCATCAAAATTGCCAACCCTTGGACCAAGCATCTATAAGAAGTAAGAAGTGTATAAAACTCATGGAGTCATATAAAATGCTATAGTAGGAAATTATAATATAACCAGAAAATGGAATACTTGCATGGTGCCAGTGAAAGCATTTTTTCGGCCCAGTAAACTGATAATTTCCCAGTATTTGAACTAACCCTTCCTTGCTACAGCATAATATTGGTTACTATTTTCCTTGGCTTTGCATTTGTTTCAGTTGCTACAGCTTAAGGTTGGAGATTTTACATAGATCTTGGGCGGCCTTTTTTTTTTTTTCCCTTTTGAATTTCTGTGCAATGGAAATATGACTTGTACCAAATGTCAAGGTCTGATTTCTTTCCTTTTTTTACATATAGAAAATGGAGAAGACATACAAGTACTACGTTATGAGCCTGGACAGAAATATGAACCTCACTATGACTACTTCGTCGACAAGGTGAATATAGCTCGTGGTGGACACCGCATTGCGACTATTCTAATGTATCTTACTGATGTTGAGAAAGGGGGTGAAACAGTGTTCCCCTCAGCAGAGGTTAGTCGAATGTTCCACCTTTTGATCTTTTAGTTCATCAGCTTATAAATTTTTGTGGTATGTTCAGTTTTTAATTGATATATGAGGTGATTATGGTTTTATGAATGGTGATTTCTAGTGAAACTGATTATGCATTGGTCAATCATCCTCTTCAGTTTCTGCTGTTTCTCGGGGGAGAATTATTAGACTTAAATTCCTACTTGTCACAGAACATGACCAAAAGTTCATTCTCTGAATTGATCGTTGTTGGCCACTCCCACTTTATATGGTTTCATTGTCCTTATACCTGACTATTTATTCAAACAACTGTTCAGGAGACATCTCATCGCAGGTCAGTATCAGTCGATGAAGATTTATCAGAGTGTGGACGGAAAGGTATTGCAGGTGAGACATTAAATTGCATCTTAATCACTTCAGTAGCCACGTCTGCAGAATGTTGATGTGCTCATCTTCTTCTTTCATTTTTGGAAATATTACAGTGAAGCCACGGAAAGGGGATGCCCTTCTTTTCTTCAGTCTTTTTCCAGACGCAGTTCCTGACCCTACCAGTCTCCATGCGGGTTGTCCTGTAATAGAAGGCGAAAAGTGGTCAGCGACAAAGTGGATTCATGTCAATTCTTTCGACAAGGTTGTGGGATCCAACGGGACCTGTGCAGATGCACATGAAAACTGTGAAAGATGGGCTTCCCTCGGGGAATGCACCAAGAATCCTGAGTATATGGTCGGATCTTCAGATCTTCCGGGATATTGTAGGAAGAGTTGCAAAGCATGTTAAAGTTTTTAAACAGATGCCTTCTGCAGACTCCGTCTTTTACACTACTGCATTGCTAGTACTTGTTGATTTTGCTTTCTGCGCCACACGTCATTTCCTGATTCTAATGTTGTTGTAATAACGCCTTGCCATTAACCAATTTTTGCAGTTTCCTGATAAATGACTGTTCTAAAATATATCCTGTACTGCTTTTCTGAGACCCTGCAGAATGTGTTACGTGATGAAACGCTGTATATTTATGTGCTTTATGTTTTGTAGCATTGGAATTCAAGAAGGGTTGAACCCATATTTACTAATTTTTCTTCTTCTATTCTTCATTTATTTGTCTTCATTTTGTACTGGATTTTTAATTCTTGTGTTTCGTGTGCTTCTCTTTATTAATCATGGTGTAAAGTTCTTGACGTCTGGATCTTGTTGGGGTGCTCGGCTTACAGTAAGAGCCAACTCCTCCATCTTCTTCTAAGTGCTCTACAACGCGTTAGAACCACTAAAAAGGCAAGGGATGGTGGCCGGAAGTGCTCTGATGCCGAAGTCAAGTGATGAATTTTCGAAAAAGGAGAATGGACAAGTGTTTTTTATAAAGAGGATGAAAGCTAGGATCTCTGTTGGGGCAATTTGGAATTATAGCCAAATTGGGAGTTGCAGGCTGGCCAGTGGCCACACCTTCTATCACTGTCAATATCGAGAAATTTCTAGCATTTTCATAGTACGAAAATATTTAATCGATATGTGTATAATATATTCATGTCTAGTTCCCAATATAAAGTAGTGAGTTGCAAATATATTCATATATATGTCCGTTAAAATAGTAACACTGAGCATTTGAAACTTCAGAAGTTATAAAAGGATATTCAATTAAATTCATGATCTCGATGCAATTGTCAAAGTCACGTAATCACCGTAGCTTGTCACATCACTTGAATCCTCAAATGAATCATCCACGTGATAAGTTGCAAGAGTTTTCGACCTACAGTTGTTGCCTTGTAATTGTGTCGAGCCCAAGCCGAGGTCACTATGGCCGAGAAGTTGCTAGCCTAGTCGAGCATGTGGACTTCTCGGCCGGACTCTGCACAAGTGTTTGCAAGAGGGAGTAAAGGGAATAAGAACTATAGTATGCCCCAATTTGACGTCCAATAAAAAGAGATTTTTTTTTTTTTTTTTTGTAAAAAGGAGTTTTGGAATATTGATTTTTTGAAAAATGTGTTGTTAAAAAGTAATGAAAGTTTTGGATTTACATAAAAAAATATTTTAGTGCAAGAATGTGATTGAAAATGAGTTTTAGACAAAAAAAAAAAAAGTTTTTAGATTGAAAATGAGTTTTAGGAAAATGGCAGGCAAACAAGGCGAATGTAAAAAACTATTCATTTTTTCCATGATTGCATTAGGAATGTTCCTTGCCAAGTAAATGATAATTATAACTAAAAACTGGAAAAAAAAAAAAAAAGTTACTCTGTGTTAGCTTTTTTTACTTTATATTTTTCAAATGTGTATTCTATTAGGAACAGATTAATAGGCATCTCGACATATCAGCAATAATTACGACTCTGATTGCCCCTCGGGGCATAGCTCAGTTGTGCAAAGGATGGGAGTGAGGTAGTCTTAGATGAGCTGAAAGTCACAATGTGAGGGTTCAATTCCTACCTCTTACAAGGTATGGAATTGGACTCTTTGTAGGCACCAGTATAGCAGCTCTTGTATCCTAGCATGTTGAGACACATCTCGCGATTTACCTCTTCTACAATACTTTAGGGGTGGGATGGTAGAGGACCTCAAGGTTGAAGTTCAACCTTTAATAATTGGGACTCTGATTTGATGAAATTATACAAACAAAATGTTAGTGGATCACAAGGAGATTCCCTATTGTCATATCAATTGTTGAAAGCTATATGGTGTTCGAGTCCTCGAATTTATTCTTATGGCCATCGAGCATGTCACCTTAGTCAAATTTACTTTTAAGTCGTAAAAATATATTTTTTCTACAAACTAAATTTATTCACTTCATTTAGGAAATAAGAAATTTTTTAAGAAATAATTTTTAAATACAGCTAAGCATGCTCTTTGTGCAACATCGACAGTGGCGAATCCAAGACCTAAGTTCAACTAAGGCAGACCCATTGACCGTCGACAATCAAAGATCGCAATAACGAGTTCGTTTATTAATATTTAATTAAATAATATTAAAAATTATTCAATATATATGTGAATGCACTAAAATGTAAAAATTATATACATATGAAAATATAATTCAATACGTCTTCTTAATTGATTTTTTTCACTTATCCTAAAATTTCCTGAACATAAATGCCTAAATCACAAACCAAAACTCATAAATGATAAATTACAACTCATAACTCAATTACTCATACAACATAAATTATTTATCACAAATCACAGATTCACAATTCTCATTTCAAAGCCAAATTGTCAATTAACTTATAGAACATAAATCAATTATTCATAAGTCATAAGTTATGCAGGTCGATATGAATATGATGCTTCCAGATTAAACAAATCAAAAATGCTCAGTAGCAACTAGCAAGAGATGAACACCAACTAAACGATCAAATCTCTCCATTCACTTATCAATTATCATTTATGAGCCTCAGCAATCACTCATAACTCATAAATAAAAAATAATACTAATCACCAAAATTGGAATTTTGTTAAAAAAGAAAGAGAACGACTCACTATTCATGGGTCCGAGTCGTCTCATCCGAGTTCCAACTGTACCGATGGAGACGAGGAGCCCAGCATGGTAGGCTACAACACGGGAGGTCCGAAACTCAAGTCATTCAGCACAACAGGCTACATTAGCCAGCAGGAGGTGGAGGTGGAGGTGAAGGCGTTGTCCGGTGGAAGTTAGAACTTGGATGAGGGTTTGAAGAACTTTGAAACCGGCCATAAGTTTTTCCTTTCATCTATGCCTTCAAATGGTTTTGGTATATATCATAAATGGATTGGATTGGACGATTGGGTCTGGTCAATTAAAAAGAAGCCTCACAGATTGTGAATAAGCCCAAACAAGAAGCCCAACTAAAAAGAAAAAGAAAAAATAGAAACGGGCAACATCACTAGTCGCCGGCATCTTCTTCCTTCTACAGTTCTACCTCCATTGTTCCGGCGGAGCCTAGCACTAGCGGTCGCGCCCCCTCGCCGGTGCTGTGTTCGCCGCTGAACATGGAGAGTTACATAGAGTAATTAGAGCCCATTTGACAGGACTTAAAAAGTGAAAAAATGATTCTGAAATTAAAAAGCTGCTTTTGAATATGTTTAGATAATTTTTTGAAAGTGTTTTATCTTATTAGAAATATTTTTAGAGAAAGTTGAATTAATGTAATTTTCTCAAGAAACTTTTCTACAATTCGATATGGACACTCACTCAACGAACTTGATTCTTGTTGTTTCCTGCTATGGAGACATTAACTTATAAAATGTGATTGTTTTTCCCTTTAGGAAACAGCAAGATCCATGCTGACTAATGGCAGTTAGCTAACATTAATTTGAAATATCTTATACTTACAAGTAGTTTAAGAAAAGGTTTAGCCAGCATTACATTCACATGGCATCAAATGAATAATTATTCTAATATGACAACTAAATACCAACTGCATTTCTTGATATTATTCTTTGATCTACACTCGTTGGAATGATCCAATTATGAGATTATGATCCTCCATGCTTTGATTGGTTAAGTCAATTACTCGTGGAGTTATGCTTGTTTATTAGATTTAACCTAAGTCGAAATGTAACATGATGTAACATGACTATAAGAGTAGTAATTTCGTTGCGAAAAAAATATATATGTGATTTAGGTAAGTTTTTGAGTTATGGGCGATTGGATTTAGTCTCACTGCAGTTGATTTATTCGCATTTTTTGGAAAACGAAATCACACGTACATACTTTCAGGATCAAACCGAATACTCGAAAAATACTTTTTCGTTAGCCAATCATAAGCATAAATAACATAAAGAAATATAACCCCCACTTATTTTTTGCAATGCCTAATTCACTCGAACTACGTACACCCTCCTCCCAAGCGACAAGAGGAAAAATAATAGGAAAATTAAAGTAGCGAGGGAAGCGAAAAATTATTTTCTTTTGAAATTTTCTCTTAGAAAGGTATACTTTAACTTGACAATACTTCATAATCCAAAACTACCCTTGTGCTTTAAATGTACAAATTTTCACTTCCTTCCATTTTAGCATTTTGCAACAACTTTTGTACATAGAGAAAAAGGGCAATAAATATATCTCTCAGGGCTAATTTATAAGTTTTCTCTGCATATCAAATATTATTGAAAAAGAAGGAAAGAAAATAGGATTCAAGTTAACTTGATCGGTTGAGTTAATCGATCGGATGTCAAATTTAAATATCCTAAACTTAGAATTTCGACACCTTCAACTTCAACAGTAACGAATCTTATTTTATTAAATGCTTAATATCGTGCCATTCGACCAATTTTTGATACATGGAGAGAGGGCAACAATAGAAAAAGAACGCTTTTTTAAGAAAAATAAAATAAGAACTCCATAAAATTAATTATAGTTGATTCGATACATTTCCCATTGCACGTATTTCAATTGCACCAACACCAACTTCATATTAAAAAAAAAATTGGAAGCATAGGGAATCTTCTGACTTTGAAATCAATATTGCACGTATCGTGTTTAAAAGTTACTTTTTTAAACATGAGTAATGACTTACTTTTAAATAAATAAACCTTATTAATAGAAAAAGTAATTATGATAAATCATGTTAGGTAAAATAAGTTACTTTCAAACACAATCCAATATGCTCTAAGGTAGAAGGAATTTTTTTAGTATTTTCTTTTCAATATGCTTCCCAACTGAAGGATTTGCAATCCTCTGATAGCTACAAAAATTATTAGTTAATTATTTGAAGATAAATTAAACAAATGGACTATCTTTTTGGAATATTTTTTTTATTGCCCTAGGGCAAATTTGTCAAGCCGATGATTGTATTCAATTTTCGAGAGAAAAGAAAGAAAAAAGTACGATCGAATAAAAAAAATTTATCTAACTAATATTCTCAGAAAAGGAAAGGCATTTGCAAATAAAGTTGAGTGGCATCTTGAATGTGCACACCTTGCTTTTATTGTTAATCAATTTGAATATTGAGGTTTATTGATTAGTTGATTCTAATGGATTGTGAAAAGATTTTATTTTCTCAAGTTGATAAGTAATGGATGGAATGTGATCTATCGAGGGGTGATTAATCAACAAGAAGATTTTATCAGATTTTAGAGAGGATTGAGTGATAGATGATGTCGATTTGTCTAGAATGGAACGTTCAATAGTAAAACTCACTCGTCGCCTTAGCAATTTCGGCATATTGACTATAGTTAAATTTGGGGTCACTTTTCAATTTACTTGACAATTTTTAGTATTATGCCTGCTATATAAGGTAATAGAGAATGACTTTAGATGTATGTATAATAAAAGAAATATATAACCACCAACTTGCAAATTAGGATTTTAGACAGTGTTAAATTATGAAATAAAAGACAGTCTCGATATTGATTAGACGTCTCAAAAGTACATTGGGCACAATAAGTAAAAGGCTCCTCCCTAAATGGGACATGTCATGGGTTGGCTCGACCTTCGGACATGTTGGGCCTTAATTTCTGTAAAAATAAAAAAGCGAAAAATCACCTAAGAGCGAAACATCTCGTGACGAATCCAAGACTTTTTGGACATGTCGAAAATATGAAATTGGGCCATGCTATAGTACTGGTGACTTAGTGCAGCCCGATGGACATCTCTAATCTTGAAAGTAGTTGAAGGGGGCTAGGGTTCATTAGCTTGAAGGTACACATTTTTGCTCCAGCCAATATATTTTGCAAAAGTGATTAAATACAAGAAACAAAGGAAAGAGATGGATAATGAGATTAAAGCCCCTGTTTGGGCTTCATTTTCAAAAACGCACTTCTTCAAAATGAATTTTTCAATCACATACTTTCATAAAATAATGTTACATGTAAATTTAAATTTTTTCTTATTTTTAGTAACAGATATTTGAACATTTTTCACCGAAATTTCATTTTAAGGAACCCAAACAGGGCTTTAAAGAAAAAAGAAGTGGGGGTGGAGAGAGAGATGGAGAGGTGCAATACAACTAGGTGGGGGACTAATGGAGAGGCTCTTAAATGAAGCCACAATATCAAAAATCTTTTCAAGGTCTGTAAATTGTCTGACAAAACACATTGCACAAATCCAGATAAGGAAAAGCAAAGCAAAAAGGGGAAGAGTAGACTCTAATTTTGTACTGCACTAGGCAAATTTTTGGATCTTTCTCTCTCCACTCTTGAAACACATAATTCACCAAATCCTCTGTTTCAACTATTATAGCCTTTGATATTGCAGATTATTCTTCAAGATCTGACAATCCCAACTAGTCTTCCTTCATAGTTTTGTGTTTTCAAGCAAGCCCATAAGACAAATCATGGAGGTGAATCAGATGCAGAGGAGTTTCCTTGAATACACTGCTGCTTTATTTCGGGAGGTAAAATAAGGGAAATTGTAATTTTTTTTCTTGATTTTGAATATATGATGTAGTTTTTGTTTGTTTTATATGTTTATTTGGATTTTTGATTGGTGGGTTTTTGGTTTGTAGGGATTCTTGGATAGTCAATTTAGTCAGCTGCATCAACTTCAAGATGAGAGCAACCCAGAATTTGTGGTTGAAGTCGTGTCTCTCTTCTTTGAGGATTCTGAAAGGCTTATCAATGATCTTTCCAGCGCTCTGTGAGTCTCTCTCTCTCTCTCTGTTGTATTTATGTATAAATGTATGTATAGGGATGCAGAGGGGCTTTTGATTCCTTCTTAAAATGTCAAGCTTGTTAAGAAAACTAGCTTATCGAGTTGAGTTTTAACTTTATAATATGAAGACTCGTTTGAGAAGACAAATCTTGATATCTCACTAGTAGTGTAAGCTTTAGATGGAGCGAATTGCTCGTCTTTGTTATTGGGGTTATTGCACATGTCTTCTTGCAGGGATCAGCCTAATGTGGATTTTAAAAAGATTGATGCTCATGTTCATCAACTGAAAGGAAGCAGCTCCAGGTATCATAGATTTCTTGGTTTATAGAAATACAAGCTTACAAAAGAAAACTTTTTAGACTATCAGAACCAAATTAGCATCTGTAGTTTGTTTGATCTTTTTTTGTTGAATTAATATTATTATTAAGTAAAATTTCCTGATATTGTTACTAAATTGAGTAAAACTTTTAGGATTTCAGTTTACCTGTCTGGGCTCATCATTGGTAAAACATTTGCTGTTTATGACAAATATTAAGTGCCACAATAAATTAGGGTAATATTGATAAAGCCAAGGAAAAAAGAAGCAAAAGCGGTAACATTTTGTTTCTTATGTATAGATTGATACAGATGTTATTTGTTGTACTAAAGATTGGTGTTTGTGATATAACAGCATTGGTGCTCAGAGGGTAAAAGATTCTTGCATTTCTTTTCGCAATTCCTGCGAAGCGCAAAATACTGAAGGGTAAGAATTTCTTGATCTCCCTCTGGCCCACCTTTTTCGCCTCGCTAAAAATTATAAGAAGATTAGACCATAGAATGAGAACTCGTCTGAACGTAACGTTTGAACCTTTTGAGATTAAATGAGGCCTGCTTTGCAATGATATAGGTGCTTGAAATGCTTGCAACAAGTTAAACAAGAGTATCTGCTAATCAAGAACAAGCTTGAAGCTCTGTTTCAGGTGAGTTCACTTGTGTGTTTTGATTCTCTTTCTTATTTCAAATGTAATTTTCTTGCATTTCAAGATCCTCCTCTGCCCCGTATAGGCTTATGAGGTTGCTATTTACAGGGAACGGGTTATTAAGATTCCAATTATCTTGATAGTTGGGAGAGGTCTTTTCGTGTGGAAAAATTTCAAAATTCTGAATCCTTCTGGTAATGCGTGTTGGAATAGGAGGAGTCTATCGCAGCAATCATGTGTATTGGCAGAATAATCCTACTGTAGAAAGGACTTTAGATGGCTGATTTTGAAACAAAAACTGTGGACTCTTCACTAGGATCCATTAGAAAAATATAGAATTTCACTGTCAAATTGAAAAAGAATGCCCCGTCTTTTTGTGTTGCGTCACTTTTTTCCTCAAAATTTGTTTAACCGGATGATTTTTTTTAAACGATGCTTACCGGTAACGACTCATGGACATAGCTCTCAATTTGAGGGTCAAACACTATAAACTCGTTGTGTTTGCTTCATGTTCTTTTCATTACGTTCTGTCTATAATTGCTCTTATAAAGCCTTTGGCCTTTAATCCCCTTTACAATGTGCTCCAGTCCTAATCCAAATTCTGCTTTTTTTTAACAGTTGGAGAAACGGATTGTGGCAGCTGGTGGATCAATTAACATGGTGGAATGGATAAACTAACAATGCAGAAGCATAGGAAATATATTAGGTTCTGTTTGGAGAAACCTTTCTGAGTATTTCTTTTCTTTTTCTGTAAATTACTTTGTTAAGCTTAAGCTACTTTTAGCTTCTGAGGTT